TTGGAATAGTCCACCCACTTAGTCACCCACTGGAAGCTGCTGTTCACGCTCTCTTTTGAAATGTTATTAGCTGTGAACGAGAGATGAAAATGGATTATTAAAAGTGACTTTGCATTTGAGAAGCAGATGGAGTTCAGATCATGAGATGCGCACCTTCCGGCATGTTCTCCAGACAGCCTCGCAGTACTCGGGCCACGGTGTCCGCGACGCTTCCCATTGTGCTGTCCTCAAGACCTGAAGACACAAAAAGCACCAAAAATCCATTAGATATCGCATTAAAACATCCATTAACATCCTTAATTTGAAAACAAAAAAAAACGTGCAACGTACATTCGCTGCTGCTACTGCAGCTCCCGAGGGTTCCTCGCACTATCATTCGAATGCTGTCTTTAATGTGTTGTTTGCTGCTGGTGTCCTTCGCCGGGACAGCTGGTTTTCCAGCAGCTGGGATGGGGGCTTTACTGTCCTGTGGGAAATTAAGGAATGTGGGGTTAGGTTACAATCTTAAACTATCTGCTCAACTCTGACGAAGGATGAAGGAGCTCACCTCAAGAGTTTGTCTACAGGGTTGAGGGCTGATTGACGTTTTCCGGAGGTCAAGGCATAGTCTGTTTATGTCTTCCTCCTCCTTAGTTGGTTTATCTGCAAGAAGCAAAATCATTATCAATCTGATTATGTATAATCCAGAAATGGTTTAGGTTAAACTTGGGGTGAAAGTGCTTACTTTGAGTCTCCAAGTACTTGGCTTTGTCCTTCTTTCCACCGAACAGGGCGGCTGCGGCTTTCTTGAAGAAGCTCTTGGCAGGGCTGGTGTGGTGAAGGTCTGGGGCCGCATTGCAGCAGTTAGCAGACAGTCTGTCTGGTGTGAAACCCTGATATAAGACGAAAAAAAACCAAGCTCAAAGCCACTGAATATTTCATTGTGTGGGAACTGGTCAAGATAGTTTCGTTTCCACAAAGAGACACACACCTGGCAGAAAAAGTCGTGGCGTAGGATATCATCGAGTTGTGGCCTATCCATTGGGTTTTTGGCCAGCATACTGCTGATGAGATGCTTGGCTTGGGCTGACAAAGACGACGGCATGGAATATCGCGCTTCCCGAATGCACCGGTACGTTTCTTTAAGGTTAGTAGTCTCAAATGGAGGTCTTCCCAAAAGCATGGTATACCTGTTTGGATGCAAATGATCCATCATAATTAAGCTTCTCCATGACATTTACATGAAATCCAAGAGAAAAGTCGGTCAATATACTTACATTACACATCCGAGCGCCCAGACGTCAGATTCACATCCGTGCCCTTGCTTGTTGAGGACTTCAGGCGACAAGTAGTTTGGTGTTCCACATATTGTTCTTCTACGGTTCTCGATCGGCTCGAGCTTTGCAGCCAAACCAAAGTCTCCAACCTTGAGCTCCATAGACTCATTGATGAAAAAGTTACCTGGGAAGAGCAACAGAATTGGGGTTTGTTACATTTACATCTATGCATTTGGCAGACAGTTTTTTAATCCAAAGTGATTTGTATTGCATTCAATGTAAATGTTTTATCAGTTCATGCATTCCCCTGGGAATCGAACCTATGACTTTGGCATTGCTGCCGCCATGTTTGAACTACAGGAAAGCTGTATTATTGGTTGTATTTTGGGGTTTGAATGTATACGCTAGCTGCTTACCTAGTTTAAGGTCTCTGTGGAGGATTTCTTGCTCGTGGAGATACTTCAACCCCGAGACGATCTGTCTTAGGTAGTACCGAACCTCTGATTCTGTAAGCACCTTTCGGGCCTTGAGAATATGTGCTAGTGACTGAAGAACAAAAGAACTGTATGTGAGCAACAATACTTCCTACAAGATCCGTTTCATCAATCGAAGAAGGACGTCGACAGCACTCACCCGTCTGCTGCAGTATTCAAGTAGAATGTAGATATTATCCTTGTCCTCGAAATGGTGGTAGAAGTGAACGATGTGTTTGTGATGCAAGGATCTGTGCAATTCGATTTCTCTGTCGATCTGTAAACCAAACGGTTGCAAGCTTAATAAACAATTCAAGAAATGCAGCCAGGAGCAAACACATGATAAAAGGAAAGCAAGTTACCTTTTCCCTTTGGTGAGGTTTGGAAACACGCATGTGTGGAATGATTTTGGCTGCATACATTTTGCCTGTGCTTAGATCTGTCAATTCATAGCATTTGGCAAAACCGCCCTGCAACAGAGAGACAGCATGCATTATAACATGCTACAAACAAACTAGTGCATTACATATAAATACAATATATTCTATTGGTAATCTCTTATTTAAATTTATGCATAACTATTTGTATTGGTTTATTGAATAGAAACATAAAATTCTAAATAAAACACTTTCAAAATACTATTGGCTTTAATATATATCATGGTATTACCATATTTCTGTTCTCTGGTATGTAAATGGTGCTCCAAAAATACTATGATATCACCATAATACTTTTTCACAAGTCAAATGTAAAATATTTACCTTGCCCAAAACTTTTCCTCTACAGTAACATTTCCCAGTGGCTGAATCCGTGATGATGCGTGACATTTCTTGCGTGGCTTGAGAATGATTGTCCTCTAATTTCCCTCGTCTGCCCTCGGTGGATCTGTGGTGTGTGTGTTCACACATCTTGCCGTTATTCACAGGCTGATGATGATGATGATGGTGTGTTATACTCCTGAGTATGTCCATGCTCGAGTCCAGACTGGGAGGAATCACCACAGAGCCTCGCTCTTATAGACGCGCGCGCCGCTCCGCCCAGTTATTTTATTCGCACTGGCGCGTCATGCTAGACTCGCGTCTCTAATCAGCGACTTGAATCGCCAAGTCAATGTTATGGTTTGCGCTTTGGCATATGGCATATTTAATTTCTGAGATTAAACAGATCTGTGAAGCACAGTTGTAATAACTTTGATCACATTACAGTTAAATGAAATGTATAACTTTAACATGGAAAAACAAAGTAAACAAATTATTTTTAATATGATTATTTTCTGATTTTTAAATTATTTATTATTATTAATCAATACTTAAAAACTCTATCTTACAATATGTATTATGTTTTATTTTTCAGATTTTGAACGCATTTTATTCACTTTATATTACTTAATCTGTCTATAAAGTATGTTAGAATATTTTGTTTCAGTAAATTTGGACATGCATGAACATGTTTTAGAGACAGTATGTTACAGTAAAGCGCTCTAGCGCCACCATGTGGTGGTTTTACACTAGTTTCACTATGGATTTGGATGTGTGGCGCATGTATGATTCATACTATGGCACTCCTTTTACACACAGACATTCAGCCAACAGATTTACAATAATATTTTATTTAGATAAATAAGAAGAAGCATTTAACCTACATAGATCATAGTATGATATTTAGAGTCTAGATGATAGAAATAAAATAAATATGCTTGTGTTTTATCATTTTCCTCACATATTTACATAATGTCATGGCTAATGCATATGTGTTGTGTTTTTTTGTCTTTATAACAGCTCATCTTCTTGTAAGATGCGCTCAGCATTTAACAGTATTACTACAGTGTTAAACATCCACGTCCATTAAACTGCTCTACCTCCTTTGTTCAAGGAGACGGCCATCAGTCCTCAGTCTTCTGCAAATTAAGGTAACAAATTTTATGCAATGCATTGCAAAGTGGTCTTTAGGAAGAGTGGGGAAATGTTTACTTTTGTTTTGGATCAGCTCAAGTGTGTTGATGCTGTTCTGTGGAATATAAAGTGAAATATAAAGTGTTTGCATGCTGAGCTCAGTTATTTATAGTTAAATTCAACAGTACACATTTATATTGGTTGCATGCAAACAATGGATATTCACAGCACAGGCTTAATAAAACACATAACAGTACAAAATAAAATGCAGATCCCATTTTTCACTTTTTTCAAGAACTATTGCTTTTCAAGTCTAGCTGATCACGTCTCATGAATTATTCATCAGAGATGTCTCTGATGCCTGGAAGGTTCTTCTATAGCAGAGTGTAAAGACATGAATGTATGGAAGAGTGAGGAGCTTGTGTTTGCAGGGGTAGTTGGTGGACATTGCATAAAAACATAAGCTTGTATTTTCCAGCCAACAGCATCAGCTTTGCATAGTTGAGGGTAATACTGCAGACAGTGTGATGATAAGTATGTAAACGTGACAGATCTAATAGCTCATTCTGGGTACCCAAGTCATACAAGGCAACTTCTCATGTGGCTGTGAGGGAGATTAGGAGACAAACGATGCATCAGAAGATTGGATGTTTATGCATTATATCCCTAATAACCATCCTAACTGTATGTAAGATAACATTCTCAAGACTGTTTCATTCATGCTCCTTTACTGAATTTGAATATAACAGACATACAGTGAAGTGCAGAAGTCTGAGACCATGTTGAAAATCTTAGATTGTTTTTCATTTAAGCCTTGAAATAAAGCTTTAAGATTTTTATGCCAAAATAAAGGACTAGTTCAGATTCAGTACAGTACACAAATCAAATGTAAGTTAATGAGTGGTTGATTATGTGACTCTTTGTACAGACAGAAAAATGTGAAATTCAAGATGCTTTTTGGATCATCACAAATCCAGTATTATTTTTAGTATTTTAAATATGTCTGTATAGTTTTTGTTCATTTTATTGGTTAAATTAATTATTAATTTTATTTATTAAAATATATATTTTTTATATTTTTGTTCATGTTTATTTTATTTGAAGTTTTTTGTTTGTTAACTATAATAATCAATATTTTAGTTTAACTTCTAACTCAAATTATAGGTTGATGATATAATAATAATTTTAAAAAAAAAGTAAAATAGAAGCATTTTCATTAGTGATCTCAGACTTTTTAGACCCCAATGTAAATTGCATGTCCAATACAAGGCAGGACAATTTATTTAGCATCACACATCCAATATTGCAGCTTGCTTTGGAATAGGATTTGGAAATTCATTGTTTTGCCAGTCACACAGAAACAATAATCATCTGTTATGTAAAGCTTTTATAAAATGCAAAATATCTTGATTTCTGAGTTGCATGTGGCTTGTTTGTTGTTGACCATTGAGAATCAACTGCTCACTGGTGACCAGTAGGCTGGTTCAGGCCTGTGATTGGTGACGTTCTGGATGGTTCTCTAGCAGTGTGCACATCATAAACCCAGACCTGGTTTAATCCAGATTCAGCAGTGCAGCTGTGGGGCCAGTGAGGAAAAGGGAAACGGCACACAATGACTCTGGCATCCTCAGGAAGTTCCTTTAACAACTTCTCTTCCAGAACCCCCATCTGCCACATGAACACATAAATCATCATTAAACATCTTCAAACCTCATATGAGGTATTCATATGATGTTTTGCTAACATTTAGGGTTTATTATAGTTAACTAAAACTAAAACCATAAAAAACATTTTCCTTACTTGAAATAAACATTAACTGAAATAAAATGT